CGAGTGGGGATCGTAAAATAAGACCGTTATGAACATGTTCCGGTTCGACGCGGCAAAGCCGCCCAAAGGTGATCCGCGTTCGGATGACGACACCCTCCAGCGATTTGGGGGTAGGATTGTTGCTCAAATATGAACCTTTGACAAAGCCATACACAGCGTGCTCACCGCCACTCCTATGTCGACAATCTGCACTCCATATCAAGAAACAAAGCCCGTATTGCCGGATGGATGCATCCCATGTGAGGTACGTCTGCGGAAGTCATGTCCCTCGACGGCCTCAACCACGCAGCAGAGAACCGTTCGAAAATTTAAATTCCGAAGCTTGCTGCTATTTCGATCACAACTATTGCCCCCACGCGTCGAGCACTTGAAGCATATTACATAGCCCAGCCGCAGCAACGGAATCAGGGTGTCAAAGACGCAGCACCTCAACACACCCCGAGATACCCCTCCCTCTCTTCTCCTCTCCAAGGGCCAACGCGAAGCAAAACTTAAGAAGTTGAAAGCCGAAGAAAACAAACGACTATTCTTCTCTCAATCGTGGGTACAACTCTCTAGTATGAAGACCCTTCCAATATTATACATTAAATGTTTCGCAGCGAGCACGTACAGCCAGTGTCAATCCCGCTTCGAGAAAATGTGCCGATGGTTGCCAAGACCCTCAAAAGCCGGTTCAGCGGGGAGCCAACCTAACTCACCTCAGACGACCCCCCCGCGGGCGCCCCGGCGCCTGACCATCCCCCAGAATCCAGGTTCGACCCCTCCATCATTGGTGTTGGTCCGATCGCCCGGCCTTGCGCCCGTAGGAAGCTTGCTCGGGCTGTTGCCGTGGGGTTTCCTGGACGTGGAGGATGAAGAGCAAATGGTAGGGCCACGCGTGCTTTCTCACGTCAAGGGCTGGAGGCGCGCAAGGTGGGAGGCAAGGTTCCGGGGTGACCCCGATTCGTGCGTGGAGCATGCGAGACCGGCCGCACAGACAAGAGTAGAGCGCGGCGGCGAATGCATGGATGGCACCGCCGCCACGACCACCGTCATGATCGCCCCAGGCGACGGCAATACCAACGACAGCGACAAGATCGATGTCGTCAAAACGACAAGACATCACAACAAGAGCAAGGCCAACGTAAAGAAAGAAACAACGACACTAACACCACATGAACGACAAATAACGAAAATAGCGACGACGACGACGACGGTAGCAGCAGACGCAACAACAGCCATGCCCGTGCCATGCAAACAGGCATCACCTGCCAGAGCCACAGGTCCCACAAGGGCCAGTTGCTCCTCCAGAAAATTCGTCTGGCCGATGGCCAATCCCACACGGAGACCTGTGCCTCGCGCGTACTTCATAAACACGGAGTGGACCTGCATCGCAAGGTCTCGCGACGGCAGCAGCACCAAGGCGCGCAACCGCACCACCCGCCTTCGTATCAGCGCCTGAGGGGCAGCGCAGCACGAGGGGAGCTTGTAGCAAGGAGAATATTGCGTTCGTTCGTTGTCGTCATCAGTATCGTCGTCATCGTCGTATGCACAACAGTGGGTTGTGGACGATGCAATCTTTTTGAGGTTGTAGGTCGTAGTTTGTTTCTCGCGTCCGGCGTTGTTCAGTGTTTTGTTCATGCCACACCATGTAGAAGAATGCCGCGGTTGCCCTCAAACGTCTACAGAAGTGACGGTACAACGGTGATCGGAATATGGACTTGAGAGGGGCCAAAAAACACGTTCGGTCGCTGTTCCGGCAGAGGTCGCCATTGGCCGGTATCGTCGCTATTAGCGATGCCAAGCGATATTGGTGGTCGCCACGCAGAGCATGCCGTCCAACAGGGGGGTCGGGAAACCAGACGGCGGTACTTCCGAGTGAGGCACCAACATTCTCAATGGCACTATGGCGTTAGGTTCAGAACATTAGCATGGAATCTGAACGGGCCGAGGGGACTTAAAAACAAAGTTGGCAGCGCGTGGGAATTCGTCCTATATCCGGAAGCGCACAATGAAATGAGTGGCTAGCGAAGAAAAATGCGGCGAAATACAGACAGAGAAAATTGTGCCTGAACAGCCTCTAGAACCGCTGGCAGCACGTCACGACATTGAGCACTTCCTCCCTCCTGCTCTCTACATACCGAACAAAAAATTGCAGCAGGGATCCATCCAAACCGTTCGACTGCTGTCTATACACTCTCAAGAGTGGCATGCAAACAACGGTGCGGTGAACACGTCCAAGCGCCACGGAAAACGCGTCTTCCTACTGCGTACGCAGAGGTTGTTCCACAGCAGTAGCTCATACCACGTGTTGGCTGGCTTCCCTTGCATTGTTTGACCACCTGAGGTGAAGCGGTGAAAATTTATTCAACGAACGGCGACTACCTTTCCCGGTCCCCGCGGGGGTATCCAATCAAAGCTGAAAGCAGCGCCGAGAAAGCTCCATTCCGCAGCAAAAAAAACGAAACCGCCGAAACCAGCAAGTCTGCTGCTGTACTCAAGCAGGAGGACCTCGGTAGGGAGGTTAGGTTAGATGGGTTTTGTGTGGGGAATGGACGGATGCGGCGGTGAGTGCAGGGTAAGCCGCCGGTTTTGTCATCGTGCATGAACAACGCACCTGCTACTGTACGTACCGACCGTGGCGCAAAAGCCTGAAAGGTGATGGTGGCACATACCTGCAAGACCCCTAGAACGAACACCAACGTTTTCCCGCTGCCAGTAGGGGCGGACACGCATATGTCCCGACTCTGGACATGCGAGTGTCGCTCCGTGGCAACGATGTCCGGCACGACACGTACCTATCGAGTCCAACAACCGCGCGGCATGAACCAATATCGCACAAGCGACGGTGTGAAGTTTAGGTCGAGAGGTTCAACGGGCAAAATAACAGGGACGTCTTCGAAAACAAGATGTGCTGGGTGCGAAAGGGAAGCCGGCGATAAACCGGGAAATATGACGAACGTTCTTGTGCAAAGCGTGGAGGACTGCAGCCCCCGGCGGCGGCAATGCCGAATAAATGCGTCTTTCAAACATAGCAGTCAGAAAATGTTTCGCCGCAGCCCGAGATCAAACGGCACTTGAATCGATTTGGCGAGACGGCGGGTTGTTTTCGATCACGACACACAAAACCAGATGCATGGAGCACAAATAGTTGGCCTCCGATGTTACACGAAAGGAGAAATAGGAGGTTTTTCGGGTCTGCCTCACCCTCCTCCTGCTGTGCTTGCTGTGCTTGCCTTCGATTTTCTAGCAGCCCTTTCCCTCTACTCCCCAGAGTATTCTCCCAGTGAAACGAAAGCTGCTCACATATCCAAAGATATATTGGACCTACAATCCGCGGCCTTACTGCTTAATAACACCACCGATGCGACCGTTCTGGTGGATCTTCTTCCTTCTATACACTTTCAGAGACGGTCTGTGAGGTGGACTACATGACATGCTGCAAGAGGCCGGCAACGCTCTGCTTGACTACACGCTCTGTTCTACTCAAACCAGGTCTGATGCAATTCCTTCGTGGTTGCTGCTGGGTGCAATCTGTTGTCGTCGAAGTCAGACGGTTATAGGCACCCCCTGCAGCATCACCTGGATGGGGAAGAAGTGTTTGACGCCTTCCCGGCGCAGTATCTCCGTGAGCCTAGAGTCTAACCCCCACTCTTCAGCCACCTCCTCCATTGGCCTGAGACCTTGCTGTCCCCCGGCCTCAACGCCGCGTTCTCCGCCCACCCGCCCCCCTGCAATCGCGGCGGCCTCACCGGGTTCTTCCTCATCGGCGCCCAGTTCGCTGCCGTCTCCATCTTTCTCTCCCCTCTCACTCCCACTTTCGCTGCTGCTGCTCTCTTCCTCGCTAGAACTGCTGTCATGGGTGCCCTCGCTAGCATCCTCCGCTGTTGCTCGATGATCCATGGTGCTGCCGTTCGCCAAGCTTTCTCCGCCGCTAGTCCGCATAGTAGCGGTATCGTCCTCTACCTCAGAGGCCTTGCTGGAACACCCCCCGGCCTGTGGGATCACACCTGCGGCCGTCTGCTGGTGTACACCGTCACTGATGTCAGGCCCTAGACGTGCTCGCTTGGCGGAGGAGCGGGCCTTGGCTCTAGCGAGCATCCTGTTGAGGATGCTGGTAGAGTCGTTGCCAAGATCATCATCTTGCTGCTCGTCGGTGAAACGCTGGACCTGGAACATGTCCAAAAGGGACTCCTCTTCACGAACGGCTCCAGCGAATGGCCTAAGAGCGAACGCGTGATGCCAAAAGGGATCGTGTGCGTGGGTCGGGTGAGCCTTGCTCACCGAGGAGATGACTGTGTGGGCATGTGGGCTGGCTCTGCTGGCTGCTCTGCGGTGGGCTTTTTGGGGTTTCGACAAGTTCTTGAGGCCAATTCCCTCACCCCGAAGTACAGGGGATGGTCTTCATGTCTCGATGGTCCTTGCGCTGGGTGCGGTGATGCACCCAAGCGGGTTGTCGGCCGCCTGCCTGCATGAAACCCTGGACAGCAGTCCAGCCGTCGCCACGAACATTGCTGTATCTCATGAAGGTGCTGTATCACCCGCCCGCAGAGAGACGCAAGTGCCGGTGACACGTAGAACCACCCATCCATGTGTACGTTGTTCGCAAACCATACTTGACTTCGACAGTCGTGAGGGAAGGGATTGCTGTACCCTTCTCGCGATAAAAATACATCAGGCAGGAACCGCAGGAGGGGGTCCAGCCCCCCCCTCCTATGTGACCCCGATTGGGTCGTCTAGCTAGTAGAAGTGGAGGATAGGGGCCAGAGGGGCAGACGACAGAGTCCAATGATGGGAGAAAAAAAAAAATGTACACATAGTCTAGATGTGGTCTAGAAGCGATGGCTTTGCCAGTGAACCCCAGAGGCGGCGAACACCCCCCGGCAAAAGGTTATCTAGTAGCATGCCATCTACCTATGTGTTGTCTTTTCGGAGTTGTATCGTTTGGCCTCGCGTGCCGAGCCTTGTGGATGACGGGTACTTCGAAGTACGCTGGTACACAAGTTGAAAAACAAAGTGACTACGGGACCCACTTTCCAACTTTCAGCTTTGTTCCCCGGTCGATGCTAAGCACCAAACAAATGGTATATACATACCTCATACACACACCACAGCGACCCTTGCTAGCTACACATATCTTGGGTTTCTCAATCCAGCAAGTCGCCTCGCCTTCTACCGCCCTGCCCAGCGTGAGTCACATTGTACCTCCACGACGGCACTAACGCTTCTGCTCTCGGGTCAAAACCAACGACAAAAGGCACTAATAGCAATATAGTAGCAAAGCACACCACGTCCGCAGATTTCGTGGGGTGCTCCTTCTAAAACCCGGCCTTATCAAATCCTAAAGCGAAACCGACAATGCCACGCGAAATGTCCAGCATGCCATCACCAAAACCTCGAAACGGATGCGCAACGGAAACAGCTCCAACGGAGAACACAAGGACAAATAACACTAGGATAGACAACGTGCCTTCCGCGATACTTCGAAAGACATCCTGGACACTTGAAAAAAAATACCAAACTTGGCACGAAAACGACAAATTCGTGCATTTCGGGGCTTATTTCTCCCAAAACACCTGCAACACCCCTAGCTAGATCTCCGAGCTGTTGATGATCTTGAGACTACTCTGCAGCTTGGACGTGTAGCGGTTCTGACACGGAACGCAGGCATTGTGAGGATAACCGGCAAGATTCCCACGGAATGAGAAGGAAACAAATGGTCAGACATGCATCGTAAAAGAAAATCCACCACGTTACTGCACGGTGTTGGTTTCGGTGACAATAGATACCGACCTGATGCAGATTCTCCAACACTTCGCCCTGTTGCTCGCAAATGTGCGTGTTCGTCCCATCTATTCTGGCACTACAGGCAGCGCCCGCACTTAAGAACCTCTACTAGGAGTTTCGGCCGAGCCTGGGGTTCATAGAGTTAGGTTACGAATGACCGCGAAGTAGGTATCGGTTTAGCCGAGCTCACAAAAGGTGCTCAAGTTCTTGGACCTGAGGTGTTCGAAGCTCAATTTCTTAACCGGCAAGTTCCTAAGTGCGGGCGCTAGCTGTAGTCTACAAGACTTTGGTGAAGTTTCCTGACGCATCCGCCGGCGTTGAGGATGGTCACAAAGGAGCCAATAATAGTGGATATTTGTGCGTGCACCATGGTGTGTCCCCCTTTTCTTCTACAAAGGCGTGCATTAGGATTAATCGTGGTAAGGGTTCGGCCGTCCCCCCTTGGCGACGGTGACAGTCTACCTGTGGAAACTGACGAACATGGTCGTTTTCCACTGCAAATTGCAGGAGGAAATCCCTCCACAGAGAGAATCCAACCCAAAACACGATACTATTTAGTAGGTTTGCGAGGTTTATCAATGGCCGGCACATACCCACTGCCGACGAAAATCTTGACATGCAGTATCGTGTGATGTCGCACAGAATTACCACAAACTACGTTTGACGACGTACGTTCAAATTTACTACCTTGTGCTATGTTACGTTCTGCTAACATCATCGTGGCATCAGGTACCCTCTGTTGCGACTCAGAGATAGTTGGGCTGATACGATATTGGAATGAACGGCACTGAGCAAGGATGGTAGTTAAGTGACAACAACGACGACGACGACGACGACAACAAACATTCCTATACACGCAGGCCCTCACCAGTGCATCCACGATCTCCCCGTCATCCCTTTCGCGAGTTTGTCGTTCTAGGGAGACGGCGTTCTTCAGGCCGGCGAGCTCCTCGCGAACAAAAGACTGGAACTTTTCGTCCCCCTTCATGCGCGACCGCACGTTCTCGTCTAGGATGCGTCGCAAGTCGGCGTATGTATTCTCTCTCGAGGTCTGTCAGGCGGAGGGGGGGGGGGGGGGGGGGGGGGGGCGTACTCCTATGTTTTGCATGCCTTAGCGGTTAGGCCATTGACCACGCGTCCTCNGACAAACCGGGGGGGGCGTCGCAGAAATGGGTGGGGCAATGTAGGCATGAGATGAGGGGGGACACTCGCGGTGGCATGTTGGGTGGGGTGTGTCGGACGTCAGCGGGGGTACGTCGGAGGGAACAGAATGTGATGACGACCATCGAGCTCGAGGTGTGAGCGAAATGTAAAAATGACAAGATGGAGGTTTCGACCTGTCCTTCTTTTTTGTCTTTTCGTGGCGTGGAACTCCAACGAAAGCTAGAACAACGCGTGGGTGTGACCCCCAATCCGTTGCCTTCTGCCCGCAGTCGGAGAGTGAACGTCGTCCTGTGAAACCCCAACCCTGAAATGCAGGCTTGAAGCGGAGTAATATGCTCTACGAGTGTGTGTGCGCCGGAGATCTCTTCAATTTAATACTTCGGAAGAAGAATTCGTTGGCATCGATAACGACATCCCCGAGTGCTCTTTTTCTGTTCGGCCTGCGCGTGGTCTTCTTGAAAGCGGCGAGTCTTGGCTTTTCCGGCTCGGTTTCGTCGTCTACTCATGAAGGACGCTAGACGCACTGCCGTTGCTGCTGCTGCCTGCACGTAGGGAACCCTTCTGGTCTCGTCCACGGATCACGTTCCCCTCATTTCGCCTCAACAGCTGTCTTTGGGTTAGCCTAACCGTATCCGTAACCGAAACCGAAACTGTAGCCCTCAGCGTACCTTTCTCTTTCTCTCAAACTTCGGAATCCAGTGAATCTCACCATCCTTGTTTGCCGTGTGTGTGTGTTTCGTGTCAGGCTCACCCGTTCCGTTTCGAAGTCAGTCGCTACTTCTTGTTCGTGGTCTGCGAGCTGCTTGAGGATGCGGCCTTCTCTCTCCAAGCGAGACATCCTCTCTGCCTCGAACTTGCTCTCAAAGTCCGTCTGCCGCCATGGCCGGGAGAAAACGGGAGAAAACACGGAGGCATCCCTGAGATGAACGTTCTCAGTAAACGTTCCATCCGCCGTCAAAACCCCCAAAAGCAGAGCAAAAATAATCAATAGAGTGTGCTACCCACAGGGGAGACATGCTACTTGGGGGAATACCAGAAACACCGGTAATTCTCCGCTAACGCCATGGATTCACCCATCAAAGGTATGTTATTTTGAACCCATTCAAAGAACGCTCGTCGCTAGAAATAACCGCTTCTTTCACGGGAACCTGGTACGACAGTTGTCAATGTGGGGTGAGGCAGTCGGAGCGACAAAAGAAAGTGCTCGCTTTTCAGCACACACGCCCAATATCGAAGAAAGCCTCCATATCAGAAATAACATCGTTCTCAACAAGAAAAAACCCCGGGGATCTTCGACAAATAAAACAGTTTCTCAAAACGAAAGAGAACAGTTCTTCAGCCTTGGCGACGACAAGGGGCTGTGCCAAACAACTTACTCACCCCGAAGGCCGTGGTGATTCTTGCCTTGGGTACCGGGCGGGGTTAAACAAAGTCCAGCTGCTCTGGTCTCTTATGAATGCGGTACTTGTATGTTGGTGAATTTACCTTCATCGCCAGCATCGACCGCAATACACCGGCTTACCAGAGAAACGAGGCCAATCTCAGTGCGGCTGAACCCCGAAAGTATTTCTTGAGGCCATGACCTGGGACCGCGTGAGGGTGTGTATGTTTCCGCCGGTCTACATCTTTCACTTGTATATCGGAAACAAGAAAGAAAAAAAGCGAAGGCTCCAAGGTGAAACACCGATTGGGGGCTTCAGTGTCGGATGTTGATTGTTCCATCATCGGCGTTGACGCAAACAGCACGATGTCTCACCAGCATCTTGTGGAGCTCCTCTCCCCGCTGCTTGATGTCCACCGGAATCTTGGCCATCTCCACGTCGAACTTGTACTCGAGGGCTTTGATTTTTCCCACAATGTCGTCCAGCCGGCCCGCGATAGAGTCGCTCCGTGCGAGCACCATGGACTGCAGCTGCTCGGACATTTTTTCCACCTCGTTTTCCCCCCACTGGTGGGTGGTTGTGCGGTGCGAGCAAGTGCGCGAGACACAGGACGGAGGTTAACTGCTTTGGGCGGCAGGCGTTTGGTATGGTGTGTGCCGCAAGATACCACTACCCCTGGACCGATTTTCAGAAGCTCCAATACTTCTCGACAAGACCGCTCCAACGCCGCCGTTTTTTGGCATCGCCACTATACTGTTTCTGCGTTGGAAAACTCGAGCTCTGAGAATTGCTCCAAGGGGGTGTGATGTCTTGCGTCATGCCACCTATGGTATTGTCCTCCATCTCGCTTCCTCTCGCCAGCCCTTGACTAGCAAGCGGGGGAGCGGGAGATGGGTTTTCCACGTCGTTTTGGCTTGTTGGTCCGGGAGTGTAGAGACGTTGCGTTTCTCTGCCTCGCCTTTCCCCCCCGAATGTTGTTGCGTGTTTGAAGAGAACGAGCAGCTACGATTGTCGGGTTGCATTGCTCGTACATAGACGCGGTGTATTGTCACCAACACGAAGTGGTCAACAAAAGTGTAAAAAGAAAATACCAATGCGCGCATCCTCAACCATGTCAGAACCCCCGTTGCCTCCAATGCGTGTTTGGAGAGTGCATGGAGCCAATAGTTCGGCGTAAAAGGGAAGATTAACTGGAAAAGAGAAAAGAAACCAATGGGACGGCCCGCGACTGTCAAACGCTCGGCGAATGAAAGCAGGTATGAGTCATACTGGGTACATGCCATTCACGATCCACTGACAGACCCAATCCTCCGAACAGCTGGTCAACAGCAGTAACTCACACCTCCAACGTAGGTTGCAACAACAAAGACACCCCTGGGCCGATTTTCACGATCCTTCGGCAGGGCAAACGGTTACGGCGCCGAGAATAGAGGCATTGGAACCGTCTCATCCAGAGCTTTCTGAAGACGTATCATGTGAACGCGGCATGTTCTTCGTCGTGGAGTAGTCACAAGAGGGTACGGATAGAGCGTTGAAAATCGGTCCAGGGGGGGTGGTACCTTATGCTACCTTGGACGAGTTCGGGGAATGGGTCTGTGACGCCGCGTATTGTACAGTGCTACAGGCCTGCAGCTAAGAAATGTTTTGCTAAGAATCAGAGGCTCACATTTTCACGAAGACGAAAAAAAAAAAAAATGACCAAGACAACGAAAATATGTGGCTTAGAAACTACCCACCTTGAGCGACGGATCAATACAGAATACAATTCACAAAAACGTGAAACAGCCCGTGCTCGACAGTGGCGTCGAAACAAAAAAAAATTAGCCTCGACCTGGTTTCGACGTTTCTTAACTCCGGGCGCACGCTGTTAAAGCAAATGGATCGTGGTTGATACATATGGGCCCCGGTTTGCGGACACTGTCGACCGCAGATGCTCTCGGCTTTGCATGCCAACCCCATTTTTCCCAACAAATTCGTGCTACCTGCTGTTATTCTGTCTTTCGACGGCGGATACAGACAGCCACCGCCCCGAAGAACCTCTAGTTTCGGCCGAAGTTGGGGTGCTCGTTTGCTTTCCACACATAGGACAGATCATGAGCTAGCGCACGTACATATGTGCTACAGATCACCTTGGAGTAAACATCACCGGTCACCTGTGTCCTTCAGATCACCATGGAGTAAACATACCCCGGTAAACATACCTCGATCACCTGTCCGTCAGATCCCCTCGGGAAAACTTACACCGATTGTCCTCCAGATCACCTCGGAAAAGCTTTACACCGATCACCGGACACATTCCTCAAAAGAGCTACTAATATAATACTTCAGCTCGATCTGTGGGGATCTGATCTGTCCTCTGCGATGTATGGGTGCCTCTTTCCTCTTGTAGGGTACAAATGGTTGCTTATATGAAAGTAGGTTTTAGTGCAGGGGTCCTTAACCACGCTAAAAACAAGTTGCACCAAGTTCTTATGTTGGAAATTATGTTGAGCATGCAGTTCCTCACTACCGCGATCCCGAGTACGGGAGCTATACACACATCCATCAGTCTCAAGTGTCACCGTAGGAAAAAAAAAAAAACATGCGGGAGTGCGTCGTGCCGGACAGGAGTGAGAACTTGAAACTGAACCGCGTCGTATTGCCTTGTTCTTGATGTGTACATACGTGCCCAATACCGGGGTGAACTACAGATGGCCACCAGTGCCCCGCGGCGCTCCCACTCACCACTTGTACGCTCTTGTTCATCTCCACCCTTCGCTTTATCTCCTGGTTTAGCGTCTTCTCCAGTCGGGTCAGCTCGGCGGTGAGCTGGGCGATTCTGTGCTCATCGTGTTCTCTCCGTACCCTGGTGCCCGTCTTCATATCCGAATCGAACGCCTGGAAGCTCTGGAGGATGCCGTTCAGCCTGGCCTTGGTGCTGTTTGGCTCGTCACCTCCCGCGCTCGCCATCGTGTGGCTCGGCCCGTTCTCCATGACTTGCATCACCTCTCTCTGCTGCGGCGCAAGCTTTCAGTCCAAAGGCAGCCTCCCAACCGCTGTTGCCTGTGCAGAACAGCAACAACAACGTTGCCGTCTCTGCGTTTCCAGGAAAGGAATTCCTCCTCTTGCTCTCGAGACGAACTTTCCCCGTGCTCTTTCAGGCTGAGCGGCTGTCGCTTCTACTCTCTGCTGCCTGCGGCGGACGGAAAGAACCCTGCGCTGAAAATAGCCTGAACATAGATTGGTTCTCTTTGGTATCCCCGCACTGGTGCCATGCGGCGGAACCACCGCGAAACGCTTGCGGCGAGTTTTTGACCTGTCGACTTCGCGCGGTTTCTCAACAGATTCCAAAACACGATTGCATGATTGTGTACATCTTGGACCTTGAAGTCTTGGAGTGGTGTTATTCCGCCGCGCCCAACCCTTGATGGTTGGTTCTTCGCTGCGAGGGAAAGATTTCCTGAATATATCCTTGCTCCTCCGCGCTACTGCTGTACACCTGTGAATTCAAGCCGTTCACACCGACAACACTCGACAAGATCGTGTGACTGCTGCTCGCCACAGGACAGAGGGAGGGATGGGTGAGGACATCTGGAGCTTGATATCTCGGCAGCTGTACGCCACCAGCTCGGCCAACACCCGCCAGCAGCAAGTGGAAGAAGTGAAGGATGATGGCGAAACTGAGGCCCCCGGCGAGGGAGGCGATCCTGCTGACTCGGCGGACAAGATCACGGCGTTGTGCGCGTTTGCATCCTACGCGCTTTGCGTCGGCATGCCTGGGGCGGGGAAGTCGACGCTCCTCAACACCTACCTCAACCCTAACAACGACAGCATCCCAAAGCCGACGGTTGCACTGGAGTACATGTTTGCCAGGCGCGCAAGTGCACCAAATATGCCGAAGGTGGGCCATAGTGATATTGTACCGGAGGATCGCGGGGTTTTGTTTTGGAGAGGTGGGGCCGTGCACGTCGGTCGCATCGGCGCCAGGGCAATTCTTTGGTACAATTATCCGTGAGGTTACCACACATTTCCAGGACAATTTGGTGGCGTCAAACGCAACCCGTCGACATGCCGTTCTCTTGAGGGAACTCCTGCTCATCGTCATGTTCATCCTCGCACAAAGGTAACCAAGATAGACAAAACGTCCGGTCCGTCGTCAACCTTGCAGGATGTGGCGCACATATGGGAGCTTGGGGGTGGATCCCACGTCAGCGACCTCGTACGGGTGCCCATCACTCCGGATCGCTTCCACAACGCTCTCTTCGTCATCGTGTTGGACCTATCCAGGCCGAGCAGCGTCATCCCACACCTGTTGCAATGGACGGATCAGATCAAGGTGTTGTTGCTGTCGTCCGCTGGTATTGTGTTGTTGTTGTTGTTGTTGTCATAACTTTACTAACCGTTCCGATCTCCGCTCAGTACATTCTAATGTCCGTATTGGTCCAACTGACGCAGACACCTTCCGTGGTCACAAGCTAACTGCTGGTGACAGCGAGAAACCAGAAACAATTGCACTTCTGTATTTCATTTCGCAAGTACTATTTTTTTGTCGAAACCTATTGTTCAAGAGCAGACTGCTGTACATGTGGTTTTGCATGCGGTGGGAGTGTGACCTGAGATTCGAGAAAGCAATTATCTAAAATTGGTCACACGGCTAGGGCATCTATGAAAGTGCTGTGCAGCGAAAAAAATTTCAAATAAGTCACAGCAGAGGGTGTTTCGCTTCGGAACCACAGCGCAACAAATACCGTTCCGAAGGCACCTGCTCCATCCACAACAACCTCAGGGAAGAACGACCAGCTGTAACACTGCTGTGTCCCATACGATTCCTCACGAACCCACCGGTCCACTCTTAAAAACTTCGTCGGTAAGAACTTGCTAGCTAGCCCAAAGAACAGGTTCTCAGTCAAGAAGTGGATACTAGAACCTGTAGTCAGAAAATCCCATAGTAAAACTATTATCGTCGCCCCTGGAATACCCCATAGACGAAAAAAGAAACGATGCATAGACAAAACAACGTGTTTCTTAAGTGCGGCTCCTACCCTCTACAAACGAGTTTTGGCACGCTTCATCGTCGCAGGCATGCGTCAAGGTCTGTGTGCGCGAGCTGGGCAAGAGAGACCCCACCTTCGCGGAAACCCTCAAGCGAACGACGTACGCAAAGCTCGGGCGGGACCACCCTGATTTGCGCTCTGTTCGGCCCTGCCCGGTGCCGCTGGTGATGGTGGGCAACAAGTACGACGTCTTCAAGGTCCGGGTTGTCGATGAGTAAGGGGAGCTGCATTTACGGAGTCTTGTCTGAAGCGCCTAGGCTTTCTGATTGCACCACTGCGGATAGGTCTAGTAGGTCCGAAATGAGGAATGTGCGATTCAGGCATGGTTGTGCGATGCACCGTTTCGGTATTTCACTACACTCACTGGTGGTAAGATGTGTGTTCAGAAGTCAGGAAGGTGGTTAGCCGAACCTAATAGTGCAAATGATAGAAGGATCGGCCGCTTGTTCCTCAGGAAGTACCAACCTCTAAATCGTACATCACAACATCGTTTCCGTCTGACACTTCACTATGGTCGACTTGGCACCCGTTTCTTCTTCCCTTCCTCCCAAGCAATGATCTTCTCGAAACCATGTCGTTTGACGTACGTAGAACAGCGACTGTGCCTGCACAAGTTCGACGCTGTCTTTTGGCAATGCCTCATGGCGTTCCCCCCTCTAGCAGTCCTACATACGAAGGTTTCCTCGAATCAAAGCCCCATGTTCTTTTTTGTGGCATCCCGCAGAACCAAGAGAGCGCCCGGAAACGAATATTGGCCCAGGCCCTCCGATTCGTGGCCCACGTCAACGGCGCGTCGCTGCTCTTCTGCTCGAGCAGGGAGAAAAAGCTCAAGGACATCCTCCGCCTGACCCTCAACACGGTGAGAAGACAGCTCATGTACTGCCGTGGTCGTAAATTGAAAAGTATCTGATTGTGGTTGTGAACAGAAAAATTCCCCTGTGCGTAAAGGCCTCGTCTCCAAACTGTGCTTCGACGCGATAGGGCACGGCAGATAGCCGACAAAACTTGTATTTCTGACTAATCGAATCATCTCCGCTTGGTCGGTTTTACTAGATACCACGAGACGTGACCTACGATAGTGAAGTACGCTTTCAGGGATTTTCGACGCTTGATGTGTTAGGCGTTTTCCGGTCTTAAGCGAAGCGTCCCTGCCAAAGAGAACTCGCTGTTCGCGTGGGGGGTACTCTTGGAGGTTGAGGGCACCCCGACAAAATACTGTCGTTGGTGTTGGTTCGGAGTTGACACAACGTCACTAATCTGCATCCTTGCACCACAACATGACTTGTCGCCCTCTGACACGAAAACACAACATTCATTCATCCATACACCACGGTTCATTAAGTGCCTCACGTCGAACATGCAGCGCGTTGCGGTGAGGTCAGCGGCTCTGTCACAGTATCGATTTAGCGAATGGACGCCTTTTCACGGATGAGGCGGTCTTAAACCCAGCAGCGCGCGGAAAATTCAGCCGGAAATTCAGCAACAACAACAGCGGCGAAATACGGCGGTGACCGTGCTGCCAACAAGAAACCATGCCGTTCAATGTACCGCAACGCGAACGAAGTTCCTCCATTTCCACGGTACCTCCCTTCTCCATCCACCCAAACCCGAGTTCCTTTGGGCTGGGATGCCATCATCACCCCTATCTGCCTGAGATACTAAACGTTTCAACAGGTGCACAAGAGCCATTTCCACTCGGAAGTGCATACCGCTGGTGTTGAAACTCGCCAGTAGCGGCGCCGTAGGCAAGGATCTGTCGAATCCGGTTCCTCCTGCGGGTAGCAGGCACACGCATGCCGTGGGAATACGCCTCCCTTACCTCCGGTTCCTCCTGCGGATAGCAGGCACACATATGCCATGGGAATACGCCTCCCTTACCACTCGCAATGACTGCATGGTCAAGAAACATAGGGCTCGCTCCACCTCGGAGGGGTATTCATCGAAGAAACACCACCATTTCGGCCGTGCGCTGCATGTTAGAACAAGCCCACGCTCTTCCGATGATACGGAGGCTGGACCCAGTCCTTTTCAACACTGGCGCCTCATTGGCCCCCACACAGCGCGGTCGATGATACATAGTCGCAGGAACGCACACAAACAAGCCGGAATCAAGCGGCCGCACGCTACGTCACGCCTCCTTGCTCACCAGCTCTTATTGCAAGCCACCACTAACCACACACTCACCCGTCACCACCGTCTGCCGCTGTCCAGCACCTGTTTCGTGCCAGTAGCCGAAAATCGAGCGAAACCAACCCAGAGCGCCCGCTGGTGGTGACAGCCGGATGCGATTCCCTGGGCTCGATTCTCAAAAACACGCCTCCGGGTACGCGGCTTGAAGACTTCTTGTCCGGAAACGGCATCGCGGACGGGGCCATGGGTGTCTGGAAGCGCACCGTGGAAGACGTGTTCGGGCCTCCGGATCGCGCTGGTGGGTCGCTGATGCCGATGCTGCTGGTGGCGGTGGTGGCGGGGGGTGGCCATTCTGCAGCGACTTGTAATGCTTTTTCGGTTTGCTGTTGATGTTGTTGGTGTTGTTTGGCGGCGAATGTGGTGGTTGTTGGTGTTGTTGAGGCTGGCGTTGGCGGTGGTGTCGGCGTTCTCGTTGGTGTCACCGCAACTAACTGTTAATATTTATTTCTGGCATCATTTTGGCGGTGCTACCCCATCCGCACGCCACGCGCAACTCAGGCGAACATACCTGCATTACCTTGTAGGCGAATGGACACCAATCAAGAATGAATGGACAAAATGCCATCCGAAGCACCGCTTCAAACGTGCTTTTCAAAGTCACAACGTTGCAAGTAAGGCCATCAAGTTTCGCCATGAATCGCACTCCTGAGGCCCTCATCGACTATAGAGACAACCAATCGACTAGGAGACTACCGAAATGACACAAGACAACAAACCCCCTCGACCGATTTTCAAATCTCGATTTCTCAACAACAGAAAGGGGCACGGCATCGAAAACGGCGGCGTTAGAACCGTCTCGTCAAGAGCTTTCCAAAAATGTATCGCTTCGTTTATATATCTTCTTCGTTGTGGAGTAATCGAGCTTTAAAAATTGGTCCAGGGGGTGTGTTATCTTGTGTCATATACGGTAGGATCCCGACGACCAAGAGCAAAGACACACCCCGACCCGTGGCACACGTCTCTAATGTCCGACAACGACGTCACCGCTCACTGCATGCCGAAGATGAACTCGTAGGCAACAGCGGCGGTGGCGACGACTATGGCGGCAGTGGCGCGAGGGACGAGGGCGACGGCGGCGACAAGAATAACGACACCGACAATCCCTTCCCCAATTCGGCCGTGGACGAGCACCGGGCGCAACGAGAGTGAGTCGAATGGCTCAGTGGGCTGTGTATAATAGACACCATCTTGTATTGTTGGTGCACCCAAGGGTTGTTCGGGGACTCTGCGGTCGCAACAATGGTGTGTACGGTACGATTAAGATATAGTTCCCCTTCCAGACACCCCCACCCACTCTCGTTACCTCATTCTCTCGGACATACACCGAGGTACAAGGCCCTAGGGTCAGTCTGACTGCCTACGCTTTTGGCAAGACACGGTCCGCCTCCATGAAATACTAGCCATTCGACACTCAAAGCAGACACAATCGAAGGACAATATTTCACTCCCATGTGTGTCTGAGTGAATTCATCCCCTGTGTACCAACATTTGACCACGAACCAAATGATGACCCAAGGCTCTGTCGTTTGGGATTCATTTATTCCGAGTGCAACGATGTCTGACTTTGGTTTGACTTAATGTATTCCGAAGAGTATTCCACAGCTTTTTACTTCATTGACATGGCAAGCAGGCCCTATCCTTCTGGTTGAGGTTGCAGATCTTTCGTGGAAAAGGTTGCCCTTTCGGTGGGAAATCCGACGTCCCAAGCTGTGATCCTTGCCCAATAAATTTCTTTCAAAATAATGCAACTGACAGGTTTCCCAACCGATGGAACGAGTGAGTTTCAGCTACGTCTGTCTCCTCGCTATATCCTCAATCAACTTCCAGTAACATTCTCGACGGTTACCGGAAGGACATTGAAGCTCATATGGTCCGTTCGGGCAAATATTCACAATATTTTCCCCTGCACAAAGGTGCACTTTTCTCGGGGTGGGGGTACTTATTCCGAAATCTGAAAATACCGTGTAAATCGACGTTTCAAGGCGCATCTTCGTACGGAGATTTTTTTGTTTTTTTTCGTCCTTCGCTCGATATGTTCAGATATTCAAGACATCTTGCTTACTTTCTGGAGGGCGGTGTTTTTTGCAGACACAAAATCTGAGACCGGATTTGGACAGCTCTCGTGATTTGCCACCGATGATTTTTTTCCGATTTCCAATTTGACAAAAAATAACGGAGTTATGGGCAAAAAACCGGATATTGGAGGGTATTTTGCTTAGTTTCTTGGGGGCAATCCAACCATACGATTCAAAAATAAAGTGCTGCAATCGATTCCTCTCGTGATTTCCCACCGATGGTTTTTTCCCGATTTAAAAAAAAAACTCGGGTTTCGGAGATATTTCGGGTGGTTTCACACGCCCTCGGGGAATTTTTTCCCGCCACACACACACCAGAGGACACACACACACACACCCTTTACGCACGCAACGAAAGACGCACACGCGCTCCGGGCACATGGGTCGCCCAAAGGGTAAGCGCAAGCTGCCAAGGAACGCCGACGGCACGATTCGGAAGGCCCCTTCGCCCCCTGCGGACCCTGCTGTAGGCAACGACTCTCCTCCCTCTTCCGACCATGAAGGCGCCAATATTTCTCCCATGCACACCAACGACCACGACGACGACTGGCCCCACCGCCGTTCTCATCGGCCTGCCGAAAGGAGGAAAGCAGCTGCTCATGGAGATGGGGCTGTGGGAAGGCGAGCCAACCCTACGCGTTCACGAGTGCAGCGCGTGCAGGGCGGAAAAGACAGCAACAAGGCAAGCCATTACCGCCTTCAACCGCGGTGGAGAGGGGCGGCAGCAGGTGGTGGACAACACGGGGCAGGGAGAGGAGGACGGCGGAGAGAACGGGGACTCGGGTGGGAGCGGGGCAGCTGGTGAAGCAGGCAAGAGGCGTCGCTGCTGCGTCGTGCGCGTTCTGTCTGAGCTCAAGGCGTTCAGGGAGGAGCTCAACATGGTTGAGAAGCTCTTCAAGGCACACGGGCACCTGTGCATCTTTTTGCCGAAGTACCACCCAGAGCTCAACGCAATCGAGCGATACTGGGGGTACATCAAGCACCTCCTCCGCCTCCACTGCGAGTATTCCCTTCGCCACATGCTCCAGGTCTTGCCCGGCGCGTTGAACGGCGTACCCGCACGGTTTATCCGCGCATGGAGCAGGGTGACGTGGCTGTACATCGAAGCCTACGACGAGGGCCTGGAGGACTACCTCGAGTACCGCAATCTCAAGCAGTGGGGGAAGCACCGAGAAGCCACCGCCAGGGAAGATGCCGTGATTCAGGCGAGGAGGGCGGGGAAGACGCCGGAGCAGAAGAAGGCAGCCGAGGCGAAGGCGCTTGCGGCTGCGCAGGAAGTGCGCAAGAAGTCGATGGCAGCGACCAGGGAAGCCTTCAACACGTGGACGAGCAAGAGAGCCTCCCGGAAGGAGCAGCTACGGCTGTGGATTTTGCGCAACACGATGAATTTTTTGAGGAAATGGTTGGGCGGGCACGCTCAGGCGTGAGTGGGGAGGGTACGTATCTATATGTCGCGGTATGTTGTAGTGTTGGTTTCTCGCGTTAAGGCGCGGTAGAGGCGCTCATCATGGTCACCAACTCAACGATATAGCTGTCTCTCTTGGTATCGGACTTGCTTAGAGAGAACGGATGTGATTGCTGCATGCTTTGTTTGCAGCACCTTCACCAGCCAGGGGTTGAGTAGAAAGTAAACAGCGGTATTGTATATATGTATGTACACATGTAACGTGTGAATAATGTAAATATGGATTGACAACGGTTTAGCTGATGTTCTGAAGGCATATACGTGTAGAAGGGAGGGGTTGAGGGGGGGTCGTGGTGTCCTTTGGGGGCTCCGTGGGGTCGTGAGGGCGTGGGGGGGTGGGGGCTCCGTGGGTCATTTTGGTCAAAAATGTCGCATTTCACCCAATCACCAAAAACTCATCGGATATCGACGAAGCTCGACGCCGCGGTCACGCCCAAAGTTGTTTCACTTTCCAAATCGTTTTTTTTCGAAAGATATCGCGAAAAATAAGATTGTGAATATTTGCCCGAACGGACCATAGCTAGCCGATTGACTGTTGACCTAATTGTGTCGGCACGTAAACAACCAAATCTTTCACATCGCTCAGCCAATGAAACGAATTCAGCGAAATCGAGTACGTGATCAAATGATTACTATACCGCCTTTCACTCCCCTCGTTCTATCTCGTCAACCAAATCTTCCAGCGAAATCCTCCGTCGGTACCGCAAGGACGCCGAGCGTAAGGCCAAGCTGGCAATGAAAGCTTCTACGGGTGGTCCCCATCAGCACAAAGGCGGCGCAGTTACCGATGGCGGCGGTGGCGGTGGAAGTGGTGGCCGCGGCAGCGGGGTTGCGCCGCCGGGCCGACGGCGGTCCAGATCTTCGGAGGGTAGCAACGGCAGAAAGGACGCGCCTCCGTTCTCTCGAAAGTGAAAAACTGCAAAACTTGAATCTTTGTCTTCTCTAGAGTGAAAACCACCATCTGGTGGTGATCTTCCTCTCTAGAGTGAAATCACTATCTGCGTAGTGATATATTCCCACCCAGACGTTGGCGGAATGACAAGATGACGCACGGGGGGCATTTCCCATGGTGACATCGACCGACCCACCCTTCACGCGGCGGAGAGAGTGGATCGTACGGTGCAAAGCTTTTTCCGAGGGAAACTCGTACTTCAGAATGGTTCCCGAAATATAAGCAGGGAGCACCGGTTTCAGGCGATGAGTGAGAAATTGGCGGTCGAGTTTCACTTGGCACGGGTCTTGCCATCGTGGCATTCAACCCGAAGACAAGAAGAGTAGGCTAGGGTACAAAAAAAAATGGGGCTGTGCCAATGATTAACGACACCCGAAAATACGACATGGGCGCAAAGACACATGCGTCGGGGTGCGCAAGTGCAAAAAATCCGCCGTGCACAAGCGGGTTTGGCCGGAGCTACATGAATGTGCATTTTCATACAGCGGATGTTAGGAAAGAAGGTCCTCTTGGAGAACTAGAGTTTCCTCGGTATTTCGAGACTGACAAGCGATTGTTTCCAAAAGCTTATGGGGTCCAGACCGTACCGTTTACATTGATCGTGTCGTTGGAGGGGCGGGGGAGTGAATGGCATATCATTTTCCAAGTGATATTTTCGGCCCAAACCTGTCAGCTTGCCAAGATACATGCACATACACCAGCGCTTTACAGCCGTCCTTGCACTCGGTACACTTGTTGTGGGGTTCTCTTCAGAACCCAGAGTCGAAAACTTCGGGAAGGATTTTCTTGCACTCGAAATGTGGGTAAAAGCGTAGATCGCCCTACCACCCTTTACTTGTTGGAAGTCATCCACAACATGTGGCAACAATTGTTGGCGCTTAAATAAACGCACGGCCGCGGGACGATCCCCAAGTTGCACGTTTGTTGCCGTCTTTGTAGAGGTTCAAGAATTATTTCTAGATGTTCCTTGCTAATCTTCGACTAAGACATCGGCCCGGGCGTCGCCGTCCTCCATCTATACCTCCTCTCGTCCATAGCTACCCTTTTCAACGGGAACAGCCGAACCGCCGTGGCCACAACCTTCTCCCCAAATCAGCAAAACAACAACAAAATGAGACGATCAACCCGCGAGGGAATCCCCCACGGTCGCGGGGAGATTGCGGGGGAATAGCGAAACGTGGGGCTAGACTTAGTGAAGTACTTTTCACACACAGGGTGGACGGGCCCCTTCGGTGAGAACTACGCCCCTCTTGTTGGGGGGGTACAGTAGCCCAGTAGTTCTAGATATGTGATACCAAAGACGAACGCCAGCAGAGTCAAAAATATCCGTGAGGGGCCAGAGCACGTTCGCGCTCATGGCGTATGCTAACGGAGGCAAACACATGCACCGAATATCAGGTCACACCCTACGCGGCCGTTTCACGCAAAAAAAAAAAAAATGGTCCGCGTTCGAAAACCGCGTTCAACCCATCGATCGAACCACCAACTCACGTTTTATTGTCCCGTCAAAAGTTATTTCTAGGCAGAGACACACCAACACAACTATCCATGAGTCCACCGTTTAGGGCGGTCGGGGCTAGGCAGAGAGAAACAAAACAAATACACACGGGTTGAGTCAGGCGTGAGAACCTCGGAAAATCAGAAGATAAAACATTCCGGAAGCCAAGCCAACAAACCTCCACCGGCTTCGTGAAATCTTTCCGTAACCGCTACGCTTACACTAAGTTGTCCGTGTGGCTCGCGGGCTCAGCTAAGGTAACAAAAAAAATACACCGACTTGCTAGAAAAGAACAGTCCTCCAGGGTACTTTCTAGCGGAACATCCGTGTTAGAGCTCATCAACGCAAGGCCGAGTCAGTGGAAGCTCGACAAGCAACAAACTGAGCCGCACCAATCGGAGGAACTGCATGGGACTAGGAAATAGTAAAAGCGATAGCTCAAGTCGGTGAAAAAACTATCAAAATCTTTTCTCAACCCCCGCGAAAAAATACCTTACAAAACCGTGCATATTACTACCGTCAACCATATTAAACCAATGCTAGGTGTGGGTGTGACGCTCATTTTCCCAAGATGGGGTTAGGTGTAGAGGGGTGGATTTCATACATTGACAACACGCGCATTTACACAGAACACACACGATATATATATATATATATGTAGAAATGTGGTGCCACAACGCACACCACGACATCCACCGAAACTGTGGTGATTCTATCAACGAAAACAAGGACATTCCTAAACCGAAAAACAACACTTGACGCACCGCTCATAGCATAAAACAACTTGCGCCCTCCATGAAAAAAATGGGCTCACGAAACAGGCCAACCACAAAACACACATCGACACTGATGTACAGCATAAGATTGGACCCGCTGCCTCGACAAATGTTGTACCAGATCATGGCAGTGATTTTTCTCTTGTGCGTAAAAAACAAATCAAAATGGGAATCTACAAATTGTAGCGGCCTTCAAGAAAAACATGTCGGCACCGCCGTTTGGACCCTCCCATCCGGTCGTCGAAGTCGAGCATACCGAGGGTGGGCGAATTCTTCCAAGCGTAACTCATCAATCTTGTGTAGGCCATCCACGCTGCTCATTCTACACCCCTATCCCTCCGCAGAAGCAGGGGGGGGGAAACCACCACCGGATTCCGCCGCCGCCGCCGCCGCCGCCGCAGCAGCACACTCCGGGCAGAAATCCCATGATTCTGCGGTGCCCCACGTGTCGAATTTCTCGAATACGAAGGGAAGGCGTGGGTTGCTCGGGTGCAATATGCCCATCAGCTCGCGGTTCGTCAGGAGGTCCGTGCCCGCTCCCATGCCCAGGTCTTGCGCTGCCAAATAAAAAAAAACACACATACACACACACACGATATTGATCAACTGGCGCAGCAATTACACGGAGCATCTTCAGGACAAACGACTCCTACAATGTCCGTTTGCGGGCGTTTGCACCAACCAAAGATGCGTTCGTTGTTTGCACGGGCATTCGTCAATTCAATTCCTTCCGAGGTAAGCAAGGGTGTCGGCTTAATCACACAAAAACCGCTGCTCTAACAACAACCAACACAACAAACACAGCAGCAGCAGCAGCAGCAGCAGCAGACTACAGAAACGTCAAGCACAGGCAGGAGCACAAACAGCGAGACGACTGTGGTAGCATAGCGGACGCTACAGCAGCCGTCTGGTTGCTCTGCCTTCGATAGATACATCTGTTGCCTGCTGCTGCTGCTGCTGCTGCTGCATTGTGGTTGTGCTTGTGCCTGCAGCCGTCGTGCCTGTGTGCTGTCCTCTGTTATTTTTTTGCCTCTGCTGCTGTTTTTGCTGCTGCTGCTATTTATTGCTGTATTGTTAGCGCTAGGATTCAGGTTAGCAACACAGCGTCGGAACAACAGAGCAGTAGCAGCAGCACTGCAGCAGCAACAGAAGGCAACAAAAACGTCAACAAGAAGCATCAACCACACAAATAAAAGCACCGACGACGGCGACAACACAACACACCTGTGAAGGGAAGAATGTCGTCCACCTTGCTGCCCGAGCACGAGCCATCGGTCCAATCGAAGCTGTAACCGTCGCGGTACGTGGGAGACATCCACAACACGTGTAAAGCCTTCTCCAACAACGGGTGCAGTACCTGGAAGCAGCAGCACGAGGGTCAACCGCGGTGTTACGAAGCGTCTGGGTGTGCCACCCGTTCGGTTAAGCTCTGTAGGTCACTCTCACAACGTCGCGGCCTCGTCACCACCTCGCAGACAACCGACTGCAGTACGCGTAACCACAACAAGCTATTCATTCGCCAAAAGTGGGTAGGATGTCATATTTCGTCTGCGGGGAACCTCCACAAAATATACCTAGGGTCTGCTTGGCAATCAACGCCCATTCTCAAGGTCAATTTTGTCGTACTGTAGCCGGCTTGCGTGCCTGAGCACGAACTCTTACGGCCAAGCTTGCCAAGCGTTGTCACTTCGGCAGCCTCAAGGGTTAAGGCTAGGGATCCAAGGCAAGATAACCGTAGCCGTAACCTAAACTCCCGGCCAGCGCTTTCAGCGGTGACGCCTTTTATATCCTCACCCAGAACAAAGGATCCATTGGGCTGACGCCGCCAACCATGACCCCCACCGCTCCCGGCTCGCACCCCAGCTTGACTACTTGCCGCAGCAAAAACATCGTGGCGTCATCGTCCAGGCGTTCTCCGTCCTGCGCAAGCAGAAAAAGGCGCGAAAAGGTGGGCG